CATTTGGGTAAATCAATATTCTGCTTTTATAATGAAGGTTTTAAAAAGCCATCATGCAGGAACGGGAAAAAGTACTGAAATGTAATCCCATAAAATATAAAACACATTTGACAAGCCTCCAGCAATCATGGTTCAGCAGCTGGTGTCATGTTCTAAGGTACTCTTCCAGGGATGGAAGCTGGATGCCATTGCCATGTATCATTACTGAACTCTTTGCTCCTTGGCTCCAGTGACCTGACATTCACAGCAGAAACATCACTCCTGCTGCTTGCTTGCAGTCTGGGACCCTCACTGGGGTCCATCTTGGTTTCCAGTGCATGGCCAAAGGTGAATGCCACAGAAGCATCCATTAAATAGTAAAATAAAATAAACAAACAGAAAGTGACATTTTAGAGAATGAGTGGAAAACAACAGAGTAGCATTTAAGGACTTCCTTCTTCTCATCTTGCATAACAGAGGCACTTGGGCCATATGAAGAGCTAAATTATCTCTTACAGCACCTTTTCTTTAGAGACTGGATCACTCCATCATTAAAGCCAACTCTCATTAAGGGCTATTTTCCAGTGGCAACTGGCATATCCTGGAAGATTTTAAAGGACTAGAACTTGGGACATGTCTACAAAGACATATCCAGCAATTGTGCTTAGTGTTTAATTCTTTTGATCTTCCAGCCCTTACATGCTAGTAAGGTCTGTAAATACGAGCAAGGCAGATTTAACTAAGGAAATAATAACACAATAATTAAACTCTTAGATGGCATTTTTTATCTTCAGCTGTCCAGCTTTTTCCAATGGAGGTAAAGAACACAAAGCCAGAGGATATGATTCAGCCTTGCAGGAAGACCTCCTGCTGTCACACACATCAAATCCTATTCATAGCTGTACCCATCTCTAATTTGAAATAATTTGTTTTCCTACCATTACTCCTGCTGAGATGCTTTTTCAGGACCTCACTGCTGCAGTGATTAGAGGCATCTTAATTTTGGTTATGCATCTCTTATTCCAGTCTTATTATGCAGTCTCCTTCATTAGTGGAAATAATTACATGCCCTTACTTTTTTACTCTCACTTTGGATGAACTTATGGGCAGTTATCATGGCCTTTCATTGTCTTTCCAGGCAGAAGATAAGCTCGTATTGCTTATTCTTACAAGTTCTCCATTTCCCTACACTCTTCCACCCATGTTTATGTTCTCCTATGCAATCCATATTTCCTAAATGGCACCACTCAATGTGGTAGTAGTAATAATCATCATCAAGACAGTAGTAATCATCATCATCATCTTATATGTTCTTTGCTATTAAAAAGCAATCAGTCATAGAGTTCTGCCACACTTAGGTGGAGATGTGAATCTCAGTTCTTTCTCTATCATGCTTCTTCCTGCATTTTACTGGCTTAGATTCATCTGAAAAACTACCTATCAACTGTGAGCAAAGGCAGGGCACTTGTTCTCTCCCATAGATGATAGCTTTTCTCTACCCACAAGAAGGGAACCTGTAAGTAAACTGGAGAGGGACTGTTTACAAGACCATGCAGTGATAGGACAAAGAAGAATGGCTTTAAACAGAAAGAGTGTAGGGTTAGATTACGTAGTAGGAAGAAATTTGTCACTGAGTGGGTTGTGAGACACTGTAACAGGTTGTCCAAACAACCTGTGGGTGCTCCCTGAAAGTGTTCAAAGCCAGGTTGGATAGGGCTTTGAGTAATCTTCTAGTGGAAGGTGTCCCTGCCTATGGCAGGGGGATTGGAACTAGATAATCTTTGAGGTCTCGTCCAACCTAAACCATTCTATGATTTAATGATAAGAAGGAATCCTGAGTCTCCAGCATTCACAGGCTAGCAGAGTCATGATGATGATGAGACCAAAGAAACCATCGTGTCTTGCCCACACTCTCCTCTAGAGTGTTCTCAAACCAGCTGAAGGATCAGCCATGGTAAGGCCCAGTCAAAGCAAAAAGAGTGGCAGTAACATACTGAGGGTACGTGTAACCACACCCTTTAATTACTTTGTTCAGCCGTGTCTCCGACTCGAAAGCCACAAGTCACTTGAGAGTCCTTTTTGCAAGCAAACAAACAGTATCAACTACTTCCAGTCATAGCCTGGCCTCCTTAGCAATTCTGAAAAAGCACATTTGGGAGCCAAAGCAAGCAAACATTATGATTCATTTACTCCACAGCTTAGCAGATGGATAAATGAAACCTTTATAACCGAGGCAGAGCAGGACCTCCGAAGCTTGAAATGAATAACACCATTCAAGCCTCATGACCAGAAACACTGGCAATGCCTCATTATCCACAAAGGAATCAAGATGTGCATTTCTATGAAATTTATGTACATATACATGAAGCTCCTGGGGCACAACTCAAATGATGACAAACTAGTAAAAACAGTGAGGAAGAGAGGACCTTCACTTCTTGTCAGGGCTGAGGTACTGAGCTTTTAAACATGTTACAAAGTAGTTTGCTGTTTACACCTGAAGTCATTGTCAGGTTCTGAGATGATTTAGACTGGGCAAAAACTTAAAATGAGTAGAATGGACACACATATATAAGAGCTAAACTACACCTTGCAGTTACGGATTCAAAAATGGATACATTTCCCGAGCTCTAACAAGTGAGCTTGGTTCTACATGCGTTTTCAGAAGTTTCCTCATTATTATTATTATTATTTGTGCCTGGCTGAAGAATTTTAAGAATATACTCTTCTTGAAAACTGACTGGAGTTATATTTCAGCTGCTTTATTAAGCTCTCTACAATGTGTATTCTAGACCTATATATATATAGACCTATAGAGACTAGTTTCCAGTGTAATGATCACACTAAAGCAGAATACATATACATATACATATATATATATATATATATATAAGTGGTTTTCTTATCAATGACATGAGTTTGTCCACTCATGCACACACTTGCACACACTGCAAGCTAGTTTTATGATATCTCCTTTCCTGTTTTTTCCAGCTTTCTGCTGTAGCCCAGCAGAGCCAAGAAGGAGCAGGCAGACTCTGTCTGCCATGGGAGCTGAGCTGGCTGAGAGCTGTGGAAAGGGTGACAGGACCCAGTTCACCTGCAGTCTCTCAGCAGACTTCCTCCTGGTCCCAGCAGGGCTCTCTGTACTTCAGCCATGCACACAGGACAGCTCTTTCTTTTCTTCCTGCAATAGCTGTGGCACTTCCTGACCACACAATCTGTGAGGCACCAATGTTTTTCCAAGGCACCAGCTTGATATTTTCAGCCTCCCTCTTATGTTGGATTCCACAATATATACCTTTGGGCCTGCCTCCCAACCTCTCACAGTATTTTCATTTAGTGTGAGCCTGTGCTTGCAGAGCTGCCAGCATTAAAGTCATTTCCCAAAAAAGCCCAGCAGCTTCGACTACAGGACAAGGTGTTTCTGGGCTTTAGACTGTTTCTTTTTATAACCTCTCTGGTAACCTGAAATCCAGTGCTCCACAACCAGTCATTCCTGTATCCATGAATCCATGCAGAATGGATTCATCTCGCTTTGTCTTAAACTGGTGGGAACAGACAGTCTACTCTGAGATGCAATTCATCCCCACTTATTTTAGGCACCAGAGAGAAGTCTTTCTCCACTGAGAGGAAACATCAGTGGCTGTCTTGGATTACCTGTACTCCTTTAGGCTGTGTGAGAGCTGGATGAGAAGAACCCCACCCTAGGCTATCTTTAGCAAGGTTATGAGTGGACGAGGAGTTCTCAGCTCCAAAACATAAGAACTATTTTTTACTTTGTTTTGCCCTGCTCAACCTGTTGCTTTACAGACTTGAGGCAGAATAATCATAAACACTTTAATTAGCTGTTCATATCTAAAACACTATTCCTAGCAATGATATTTCAACAGGCATGTCCTCATCCTGCTGCATGCACACCTTCCCTCCCCAGCTACTAGAATAAAAAATTGTAACTTTCTTGTCTTGATCAGCCAAGATCAATTCTATGTGCAGGTCAGCCCTTGTTTTCACTTGCTTCCACACTGTTTTATGGATTTTGTTTGGGAACCAGCAGATCAAATTATTTGGTGCCCTTCACATTTAGGTTCAGTTTGGCTGCTACTCTGGTCAAACATTAGTTATGCTGCCTATTTAGATGGATAAATGACATAAAGATCACATACACTGAAGACTAGAAAACAGTTGATAACTCAATTAGTGTTTTCTGAAAACAACTTCTGCATGAGAAGCCTCTGTCCTGGATGTTAACTGGTGCCAAGACCATGGGACATAGTCTTTTCCCCTCTGTAGGTGTGCCTCTGAAGTTGTTTCAGATAGAGTAGCTCTCTGGAAAAAGCTATAAACCCACACGGAATGAGGTGACCTTGTCCTCATTACATCCATAATTTTTCTGAAAATAAATATTGTAGTGCAGAGCTCTGAATCCTTGATGTGATGTTCCCTAATACTGTACTTGTTTTTAGGTCTGGGAAAGAGCTGCCATCCTCAAAGAGACATCTCATATCTGACATCCTTCTTCCCACTCAACTAACACACCAACCATTTTGGTTTGGATTTTATCTGTTTTCCATTTTTTCACACAACATTTTCAAAACCTAGATAAACCATATTGCCCTTGTGTATAATGATACAAATCAGTATAAAGCTTTTACATTATGCAGGTCACTTGTCCAAATGTATCTGTAAAATATTTATACTGTGTAGTTCACCTGAAGATATCTACTTATGAAAAGCCTCAGAATATTATTATACTAGTATCAGAGAAGCAAACATCACTACATAAAAGATAAGCCTTTGTTTCTTTACTTTCCTTTTTTATTCAAAATGCCACTGAGTATGTAACAGCAATTTTCTAAATACCTAATTTTTATCTTACATTCATATTTTTTTCTCCTTCTCTTGTTTTGGAGAAGGATATGAGGTATTTAACTTCCTTATGGCACCAGTACTGTGTATACCAAAAGTTCTGCTTCTTTTCCAATACTTAGTGAAATCCAACCCTGCACTTACAGCCAGGTATGTGATCATCCTAGTCTTGGAGGACACAGATGGAAAGGAAGAGCAAATCATGTTTTTAAACATTACACTTACTAACAATCTTAATTTGTTCTCTAGGTATAGACTAGCAATTGCTTGAAAATAATGAGCATGCCTGATGCTTCTAAAACATTTTCAATGTTCCCTCCAACACTGGTCAGTTCATCTATAGCTTTCTCCCTTCAAAGAACAGATATCCGAGTGATCTGACTGTTCTCCACACTTGCATCCACCTTTTTCCCATCTGCCCATAAAATACTTGTAGTCCTTATTATCTTTAATATTCTACACTTGGAAACAGTGAGTCCTGTGGTGTTCTCTGGATGCCCTTGACCTAAACTGCGTCAGAACTCTTATCTCTGTGACTGTATCTTCACAACTAACATTTAGAGTATTTAAAGAGAGGATTTGGTTTAAATCTCATTACATATGAATGTTCTCACTAATAGAGTGAAGATTTCTTAATTCAAGCCACATCCTACTCTTTAGAATCCTTCCAGACATTTATTGGGCCAAACTCAGAGACAACTAGAAGTGGTGGTGAAAAGGAATAAGGTCACGGCCTCTCCCAGATGGATGTGGACCATTCACTCTCTAGTGTGTTAGAATTTGGTTATTTGGAGCCAAATTTTTTCCAGAATACACATATTTCATGTAACAATTTCTCAGCTGTCATAAGTGGTATCTCTTTGAAGAGAAAGAGAGGAAGTAACCAAATCATTTTATTCATTCTGACCCTCAAAGTACAACATGGTCACTGATTATTTATTGCTCCCTTATGAACTATGTCAAGACTAGAATACAGCTACGTTGACCTAAAAAGCAGTCTTTTACATCCTGCATAATCAATTTGCATACTGCAATTTAAAGGACACAACCAGAAGCTACAACAGACTGGTCACAAAAGGGCTGGAGGCACAAAAGCATGAGACTGTTCATTATTTCTGGCAATCTGTCCAATCACTTCCAGGAATAAACTTTTTATTAGCCAAATTACTCTCAAAACCCTTAAACATCCCTCCAGTTCTTTCCTTGGCAAAGATGACAACATGTTACAGCTGCCTATGAATCTCTAGCTACAACATATTGGTAGATAAAACAGAACTGAATTCTTCTATGTACAGTAATCTGTTATACAGATGGATTTATCTCTGGGGGATAGATATTCTGAGACAGTCTGTTTAAGCAAAGTGTAATCCAAATGGTGAACAAAATTATTTTTTTCTGTGGAGAAGTTCATAGATATACAGTTGCCATGACAACTTCATTTGGCTCTGGAAAAGGGAAAATAAATGGCTCTTTTTAGACTGAAGTAAAATAAATTTAGTCTGTTTGTATGGAAAAGCTGCTTTTTCACTCTAGTGTCAAATAGTCCTTCTGTAGCAAGCCTCCTTAGCTTCCCTTTTTAGATTTTAGGGGGTTTCTTTTCCTTTTTTTAAAAAAACAGTACATCTATTGGAATTAGAAAGGATGAGAGCACCTCCCTTTTCCTACTCTTCCCATATCCAGAGCATAGTTTTGTGTTCCAAAATTCTCCAGATTGCACCCTATTTGCAAAACAATAGACACAGATTTCCTGCATCTAAGCAGCATATAAATGCAAACTTATATTCTTAACTTCATCAGATCATAGAAGACTGGGAAAAGTGGGAAAGAGCTGTTATTATCAGTCTGTTGGGAATGCAGGATATCAGGTCTGAAACGCTCTCTCTGTCTGATGTGAAAGATAGCCAGGGAGATTTTTTGTTCTGTTGGCAGCTGGAAAACCAAGTGGATTTTAAACCTTTGATGTTGTATATCCTTTATCAGCTCTCTGCTTCCAGCACTTGTGCATGCATATCCCTCCCACGATCACACAGGCCAGTGCAACAGGAATCATTGCAATGTACCAGGACAGACCAACAGCTGGAAAAGTAAACAAATTAAATATTAGAAAAACAGGAAAAAAAACCCCAACCAACTCCCAGGAACAGAGTTCTCTAATCTCAAGTGGGAAGAGGAGAAATGACAATAAAAAGGATGTCTGCAAGTTAACCTTCCATCAGGGCTTATCACCTTTAAAGGAAGAGATCTATTGATTGAGCACTATGGGAAATGTGTTCATCAAGACAGGAGGAAGGATTGGAAAACAACAGAGAGTGAGAAGTTCAATCTTTCGCATCCACCAAACTTTCTGAACCACTGATCAGATCAGCTCTGTGCTTTCTGTCTTGGTTTGTTAAAAGCAGAGACATTACAAGCAGGAAATCCAAGCACCGTGTGGAGCAGGAATACTTAACAGTTAGTTCACCCTCAAATTGTGTGAATATTTTTTTCCTACAGAGCAGCTTATAAATTAGCAATGGTCAACCCAAAACTCAGAACTTCTTCCCAAATCCGGCTAATTTCCAACACCAGTGTCTGTCCAGACCATTCTGGATTATTCCAATGTGTATTGCCTCCTCTGTAGTTATTCCTATGTGGCTCATGGAAGATGAGGGCAGCACATGATCCAGCAAAAAGAGTACAAATCCCTCATCATAGGGTCCTGGAGTGAGTCATAACTGATAGCAAAGTCTGAATATGCTTATGGGCCTTTCTAAGACAGTGTGAGCAAGCTTTAGTGATTCACCAACGTCATGGAAAGAAACAATTAGCATTGCTTCACATTGTTTATACAGCTGGCTCTTGGCCAATGGTTTATCACACTGCAACATTAATTGCGCTGAGTTTGGGTCTTCTCTTCCCATCACTAGGAGCCAAAATAATAACGCCCATCATAATTTACACTTCTTGTTATTTTTGCAGTTGTCTGTGCATGAAGAAAAGGAATACTAATAATTTATTATGTTATTGTCTTTTTTTTCCCCTACTTGTTGAGGAACTGGAAGAAATTTGCTGCAAAGAGAGTTTGCCAGTAGTCTCACTGGAAAATTATTTAACGAAGTGTATCTAAATTGGAGTGTTATCAAACAAACAGATATATTAGCACAGACAGATCCTTATCCCTGCATAAAATGTCAGTAAACGACCTACAGACGGTGCATTTTGTGAACAGGCTGTATCAAAGACTACAGGTGAAAAAGGCCACCAGATTTTCCCCAGGCAGTAACTCATCCCAACACTAGCTCTTACAGTATAAACTGTAAGGTCAAGAGATAATTTAGCATTAGAATAATAATAAAAATTATCCAAAATTAGCAGTAAAAATAACTACCTTCCTGCTTGACCCTTGTTGGCAGTACTTGGTATCCGTGTATGTTCTGGGCCAGACAAGTAAAGTCTGTGTAAAAGTCCACTTCTTCAACAGAATCAAAAATCAGTGGTACTTCAATAAAGTTTTCACCATTTTCTACTATTTCTCTGTAAGAATAAGAAAGATTTAACGTTAAATATTTTAATAAGATGTTTTTTCTCTATTTGATACATTCATGCTAACAGCACATTGCAAGAAAATGCACTGGATATTGGTTCATTTCTGAACCAGCCCCTCAGCACTCAAGGATGCCTGTTGTCTTCAGCCCAGTTGTGCTAACTTCTTGAGTCTCAGTGGGCAGTACCTATCCTGCACTTTTGGAGTCTAGAGGGAAAACAATACCTGCATTTGTCTTGCAAAAATAAAGACAAGGGAGGGGAAAAAGGCAAGTGGAATTCCGTGTATCTGTGAGCTCACTTCACAGCATTGCGCAAGGACCTAATTCCTTCTCTCTGACCACCTGAGCTTAATTCTTATGATCAGCTGGAAGAGGACATATGGAGATCATGACCCTGCAAAGGTTCTCTGAGAAAGCTGAACCACCATTCCTGTCAATCACATGCTCAAAGTTAATAGCTCAATACCGAGATCAAGAAACTGTCCAAGAAGTTTCCAGGTAATTTCAACATGATTATTTTAGGAGTCCCACTATTTGAAAGTGTTTTTTAGCTGGAGTCAAACATTTTCCCTTAATATCTTTTAGTCATTACCAGAGCAGTTACCAATAAGCCTGCATTGCTTGTCAGCAATGGGATTCCCTAGGCGCTCCTCCCAGGAGCTCTTTGCCAAAGATTTCTACAGGGAATTTGTCTTCCAGAGGCATTTGAGCTGTTTGTCATGCTGCCATAATGAGAGCTTCCAGCAGAGCTGGGGTGTATCAGACATTGTAGGTCCTGCAGGAACCTCAGTTGTCACTGTCACTGTCCTTGTGCAATTGCATGATACCATATAACAACAGTAATGATAGTGATAGGCACAACAAAAATATTTTTTAAAGTCCAAGTAAGAAAGTGCTACTCTATTCTAAAGACAGTAGAGACTATAGCTGCAGCACATTTTTATGGTTCCTGGCCACAGTGAAATTCATTTTCACTTGTAAACAAGACTATAAATTAATTTTCCCAGTCATGCTGTGGGGAATGGGAAAACACCTAAAGGCAGTTCCTGTGTTACATCTGGCTGCAGCATGGCCAGGCTGTTATCTGGCACTGGTGGCCACAAATTGCCAAACCCATCTCACATCCATAATGATTAAACATTCTTGTCCCTCAAAACACGGATGCCACCTCCCCAAACTCTGTTGGAAATGGCCCCTAGCCCATGCTAAACCTAAATCAGTAGCCAGAAACCTTTTGGGAAGGTGCTAGCTGGTGTGTGACCAGTTTAGCATGTAACAGCTGAGGCAGTGGCATCCCGGAGTCAAGGAACCTTCTGGGCTCTATCCACCAGTACAGGCAAAGCCACCAGGCAAATGTAATGATCTCTTTGGACATTCTGAGCTTCATGAAACAAGAAACAAAACAAGCTGCCTTGGTCCTCAATTAAGAGATTTCAGTCAGAAATTTTACCTCACATTTACAAAAACACTAGAGGTGTTCCTGGATGTAGTGAGTTACTCAAGTAACACACTACAGGTACAGAAAGCAGGTATCTTTCCCTTTCCTAGTGGGAAAAGCCTTGAGCTGTGCAGCTATGAGGCAGCTGGGAAAACCTTGAGCTGTGCAGCTATGAGGCAGCTGAAAGACGGCTCCTCCAGACTGGGAGACACAATGAATCAGGGCAAGAGGATGTGGAACATCCTGCTTCTCCCTCCCACCAGCATTCCCTTCAGTGCTACTCTAGCATCTGTTCTAGCACTCAGCGGGTGTCTGTGTGAGTCAGTTTCATTCACTAATGCAGAAAAGAAGAAGTTTAGGGGGAAAAACAATGTCATTTAGAAAACAAAACCCATCAAACCACTAGATAATTTTCTGTTGTCTTAGTGTATTCAGAGAACCCCATGAATATCAGGGAGCGAATGTTGCCACTTTGTTTGCATGGGGCAAGAAGTGAGATAAGAGAAGCGCTGAGAATAATCAAGCCTCCCTGCTTTCTGCTGCAGTCAGCCCTTACAACAGCTCACTTGCTCATAAAAATGTGCTTAAAAGTTTGTATCAAAGTTGGCTCATTTGTAAAATATCATGTAACGAAAAAACTGAGATAAAAATTTATTTCACTGACTGGGTTGGGCTTGGGTTTTGTGGGTTTTTTTTCTTGCTTCCTCTTTTTTTACCTTTGTTCTCACTCTCACTTTAGATCTCTCCATTTCCTATTTCATTACTTGGCATTCAGCTGCACCAAGAGTGCCTGTAGCACTCTAGGTTAGAACAATAAGCACAAGGAAGCACTTTCAGCCAGACTTACTGTCGTTCCCCCTCTGTAACTCTGCTTTGTTTATAAACCACGTCAATGCTGGTGTCATTTGCCAGCCATTCCACATCAGTTTGAAAATGGCTGCTCAGCCCAATAAACACTTTGCATGGGAGAGTCATCTTGGAGCCTGTCAAAAAAATAAAGATTGAAAAACAATTTGGATACCTATGAAGAACTACTCTTTCTTTTGGTGAAAACCAACAACTCCAATGGGAGATCTCACACACGTCAAGAACCACTACTTTCAAAACTGAAGTTAATCTCCAGATTGCTTTTGATCCCCTACTCCTTAGCAGCAAGACCCTTCAGTGTGGCTAGTCCTTCCTGCTGCTAACCAAACAATTTGCCTATTGCAACACTTAGGGACTCTTGCACTAAACACATTCCCTAGAGGCAGGGCTGTGGTGGCCCTGTGGCCTTGCCCTTTCTGACCCAGTGCTGCCCAAAGGGCACCGTGTGGTTTACCCCTCTGGAGCAACTGCATTAAACCAGCACAGCCTCACTCAGAGGTGCTGTGGGTGAGAACATTCAGCTGAAGGTGGGACCAGGGATAAAGTGATTTTGCAAAATTTCTGAAACTTTTTTATCGTTAAAATTAATGTAACTCAGGAATACAGAGACTACAGACTGATTTTTATCTATATTATGTGGTAGTATATCTATATACCCAGGAGACAGCGTCTGGTTGTAGACATTAAAAAGCGAAGAACAGTCCATCCAGCACCAACCCTCAAGTAATATAATTGAGATCAAAAACCTACAACAATTTATGCCAACAAATTACGCCTTTTTTCTATTTTTTTTTTCTGATTAAATGTTTCCAAATACAATGTTGGGCCTTACCAAGAGCAGCTGATGTTGTCTTTTGGGCCGGATACACAATTATCGGGGTAATTCTCTTCTCTTGTTCTTGGCAGAAAAAGAGAACAGAGTCAGTGCTAAGACAAGAGAAAATGTGGGCAGGGTCCCAGCACCAGAAACATGCCACTTCACCCAACAGCTGTCGTGTCCCAGGGAAGGGTTTGATTGCTAGCCCCGCTGGCAAGCAGGGGTTCGCCGTTCCGAGCCGGAGCCCCTCGGCTGTGGGGACGGGCAGGATCCCGCTCCCCGCCCGGCCCTCAGGGACGGCGTGAGGCGTGTGCGGCACGAGCGCCCCCTGCCGGCCGCTGTGCGCAGCAGCGCCCCGGGCCCCGCGCCGCTCCGCCACACAGCGGCCTGCCCCCGCCAAGGGCCTCCTCTCCGAGCTGCCCTGAAGCCCTGAGCAGTGGCACAGCCCCTCCTGCCCCCAAGACATCAACTATTCCGTTTAACAAACACGGGTGCTCGCAGGAGAGACCCCTGCCAGGCCAGGGGTGCTGTGGGAGCCCCATCAGGGGCAGGACAAGCATTCCCTTGGCATAGCTGAAAGGCTGAGCGTGAGCTTCTCTCAAGATTTTCATTAGCAATTAAGAGGTTTTCTTATGTGCTATAATGTTTTAATATGTCCATCATTGAATCATAGAACCACAGAATGGTTTAGGTTGGAAGGAGCCTTAAAGGCTCCTAAAACCTTTCCTAAAAGGTTCCTAGGACCACTAGTTCCAACCCTCCTGCCTTGGGCAGGGACACTTTCCACTAGACCAGGTTGCTCAAATCCCCATCCAGCCTAGCCCTGAACACTTCCAGGAAGGTGGGGTTGGCATCCACAACTTCTCTTGGCAACCTGTGCCAGTGCCCCACTACCCTCACAGTAAAAAACTTCCTTGCAACACCTAATCTCAACCTGCCCTCTTTCAGTTTGAAGCCATTTGCCCTTGTCCTGTAACTTGTAAGAAGCCCCTCTCTATTTTTCTTGTAAGCCCACTTCAGGTACTGATAGGCCACAATTAGATCACACCAAAGCCTTCTCTTTTTCAAGCTGAATAAACACAGTTCTCTCAGCCTTTCCTTGTATGAGAGGTTCTCCATCCCCCTGATCATCTGATATTTACCAACAGTCTCCAGTTGAATTGTCCTGGTGATTTCATACTCCACACCTTCAAATGGAAATGACATCTTGCAGGTGTAATACCCCGCATCTGTCGGTAGCACAGATGCCATGATCAGAGACGCTGAACCTTTCAGAATGATGAATCTTTCATTGTCATCTTCCAAAGGCAGAGCATCCTGGAGAAAGGACAGAAACTGGTGTTATGACTCAGATAGCTATGGTTACACCCTGTGTAACTCTCAGACAAATTATCTCTGTCTCTCTGTTGTTAGACATTTACTTATCACTGGGGAATCTGAGCAGTTCTGCTTTCCCACCAAAGCACAAGTTCTTTTAATGTGTATCCATCTCTAAAATGCCTTGTGGCACTATACGAAGCGTGAAGAATTGCTATATTAATCTATCTATAATGTGTGTGCATAGCTCTTCCATAAAGTGCATATTTTAAGATAGAAAACATATCATAGGCTCTTCCTTGAGTCATCTTAAGAGCAATCACATAAGGTTTCAGTACCCATGGAGGTTTTCACAATGTTATCACTTTCCATACATGACCTCAAAAGCGTAATATTCTAAGGCATTCTTTGAAGACAAATACTTGTAATCACTCAGGATTACACATAACTGTTACATACCCTATAAATTATTAGAAATTTTGTATCCCTAAGCCTCTGTTCATACATGGGCTGGAGACCTGCTAGGAGAAATTATGTTCCTTCCTCATGAAGGCAGGGTAGCTTCTTCATACATTTGTAACAAGAGCCATATTGAGGGGGCAGCCTTTTGCTTAGATAAAGTGGGTTATGTTCCCTCTTCTGAAGGGAGTCCTGAGTAGCAACATTTTGCTGGTATGGTACAGGTCATAACTGAGGCACTGCAAGCCAGCCTGTGTATTGCATCCTATGGTAAGGCTACAGCTGCACAAGACAGTGCATAGTGGGAATGTAAATAAAAGATAAACCAAATTATTATGGAAATGGGAGAAGAATCCCCTGTTCTCCAGTGTGAAATTTAACAGCCAGGGACATTGTTTATGATCTTAGAGACAAAACCAGGCTTGCCTACTTGAAAAGCAGCAAACTGGCCAGTTAGACAAGAGAACACTCCAAGCATTATCTAATTCGTCTAGTATTACCAAATGGTGTGTTCCAGTTGGTTAATGAAAGATACCCCACCTGGACATGGAGGCAGTATCCCTGGGAGGTTCTACTTTATGGGATTCACTAGAGGGGGCCATAAAAAGAAGCACAGTGCCAAAGAAGAGGACCTGATATCAGATGGCAAACCCTGGAGTTGGGTAAATAATCTAGCCTTATAAACAGTTGCCTGTGAGAGCACAAAACATGTGGAACACTTCAGCCTGCGCTGAGTGTGCCCCAGAGAACTTTTCCTAAAATGTATACATCTGCCCCAAAGTTCCCAGTGTATTACACTATGCTAGTGATTTAAACAACATAATGTTCAGGAGAAACACAAAGTGGAGATTTATGTGCCAAGTTGAGATGAGGCTGTGCACAAAGAGGAAGTAAATGTTCTACCTTGTACCACTTGAGCTCCAGGCTTGTCCTGTTTGGGGTAAAATCCCACAGGTCGGGGCAAACAATCCTTCCAGAGGTGAAAGTGAAGAGGACCTGGGGATAGGCAATCTCCCGAGCAGCTGTTTTCTCCACAACTGTGAGGTGGATGGAGACCTCTGCACAGTAGGAGGAGTTCCTGCAGACAGAGCAGGGAGAGGTGAGACACCGAGAGTGACGAGGGGAACTCAAATGACACTCTTGGTTTCCTCCTGGCTCCATTTCCCTCCTTAACAGAGGCCAAGACTGAGATCATACCAGGAGGGATGCTGTAAAATCACTGGTAGTGTTCTTTTGGCACAATCTAAACTTGTTGCTGACACATGTCTGCCTCAGACCTTCAGTCTTTTCTTTTCTTTTAGTACAACAAGTTTCCTGTGCACATTTAGGCTGCAGCACAATTTTAACTTTGTAAGGAGGAGGAACATGTTAACCTGAAGTAGCAGGTGTGTCATGAACCCTGCCCCATTTCCTTGGAAAAGGTTTTGAAAACCTTAATGATTAGATAACAAGCTTAAAGCATGTATTACAATACATCTGCAGTTACTGTTGCACAACCATAAACATTTCTGCGAGTACATATAATTTTGTATAGCAAAGAAGGAATTCTGCCCTTGACATGTTCACAATATTCAACTTTTCTTTCTGGCATCAAGTGACAATCACTTCCAGTCTCAAAGAAGACTGCGCAAGGGGAGGTAGATGATTAAATTCCATCCTTTACAGCACTGGAAGCCTGCTTCTGAAATGCCTCAGGGCAGTGCATGATTCTTTAAGGGGCCAGCAAAGCCAGGGGGGCCGGGCTGCCACCTCCAGGAGAGCAGCTGTAGACTGCAAGCATACAGACTGACACTATTGCCAGGACACTGTGGCCATCTGTCACGTACAGGCCAGATGCCCAGACCCAAAATACTTGCTCCACAGAACACAGAAGCAAAGATCTGTGATAGTTTGCTGCTACCTTCATTTCACAGAGTTGATAAAAAGATCTGCTGAATTCCCTGCGAGATAATTTGCAAGGGAAATGTAATTTGTTTGCACTTTATTAATCCTACTATAATGTTAACAATGAAGTTATCTACTTGGCTCTTGCATGTCTTTTTCAAACAAATTCCACAGCATTTTACTAGATCTCTCAGTAACACTGCTGTAGAGTTATATATTGACAAAGTGAGGCAGAATAGTCCAAAAAGGGATTAAAGAGCACTCTTAAACATCTCAGGCAACTACTCTGCTCTAGAGCAGTATTTGCAACATTTTGCCATTTGGGCTTCACTGTCAGTATCTTATCTTCTGCTCCACAACTGAAATTGCTGCTGAGATGTGGGGAAAGACCAACTCAACATGCTGAGCATGATTTTTCAACTTGCCCATCTCTTCTACTGCTGACACGTATCTCTATCAAGGTGTGCCTTGCAAGCAAGGAGACCATGCTCTCCACAAGCAGCTCCGGGGATGTAGAGATATGTTCTCTAGTATAAACCCCAGAGCCAAGTGCCAGAGGTATACTGAGAGGCAGGCTGGCTGCAGGACATAGCAGGGGACAGGGACCTGGATCATCTTCAGAAGTTCAAGCTCTAAGGGTGATGGGACTTTTTTGCCTTCCTCAGTCGTCAACAAATTCAGACCCTGGCACCTCTTTTGACATGGTACAGTGCGCTGTCAGATTGAAAACACTCAGAAAAAAAAAAATACCAATAGAGCTGAAAAGAGCCATGGCTAAAGTCTCAACTCACTGCAACACCACAAGTCTGATACCACACACTGGGTCTCATGAAAAGTCTTCCAACAATACCAAGCCAATCAAATTCTTGTTTAAAATATGACTCAAAAGAAAAGTGAAGACCAGGGATATGGAAGAGGGAAGGGGAAAGCCACTGCAGAGCCACAATATCTTACATAGGGTTCATAAGGGAATCTGAGATGCAACAAGGTTATTTGTGCTCAGCAAACCTGCTTCCTGCAGCATGCCCCACTTGCCATAGCACTGACTGGCTCTGAGGTAGCTAGAAAAAACTCTCTATATTCTCCAATGAGATTGTAGCCAAAGTGGCAACGCTGTTCCACAATTTATCCAAATTTCAGTACTGGTACTTATAGGAGACACACAACATTCTCTAAGGGTCCTGACTTCCCATATTTTTTCTCTCTAATAAAGTCAGCAAGGAAATTACCTTATCCAGAAATGCTCTGAATATAACCAGAGTTTCAAATCAAGGTAACGCATTCAGACATAGTCATTTTGTTAGTGAACTAGATTTTCTTTTAAATACCCACCTTTTTGTGCAGATATATACTCCTGAGTCTTCTAGCATCACTGGTAAAAACCAGAGTGCATTTCCTTTTGCCCAGATTCTTGTATCTTCATCTCTTCCTGATATCATGGTGTTTGAACCATTTTTATACCATGTGATATTAGGGATCAAGGCAGAGAAATCCAAATGCTTGTATCTAGGGGAAGGGCATTTCAGAACCACAGGTTCTTCATGTAGTTCATGGTAGTGTTTGAAAAACACGGTGTGATCTGGGCAGTTTTCTATATAAATCAGAGATATTTTTATATTACTGTCAGACAGGAACATTAAAAAAAATGGTGAGGGAAACAGAAGAAAAAAGACAAATATACACTTACCTATGTTTTTCACTTGCTGGAGTCTGAAAGCAGAGACACCCACTGTACACATCACCAGGACAAGGAAGAGCTCATGCATTTTTTTCCACAGGAAATCAGGAGAGGGTTGAAGGAAAGTGTTTTGAAATCTACAAGGAAGTTTATTACAAGACAGATTATATAACCAAAATACTCAATATTATCCTAAGAATTAATTGCTATTTTTCTCACTCCAGACCTGGGGAGCTTTGGTCCATCCTCAGTGAGCAGAAAGGTGTCTCCATCCCTAGTTTATGGGGGCTGAACTGTGGAACCAGAACATCTGGCTTGGCACAAACATATCACTTCTGGCCCTTCCCTTTCACTCCAGAAGATGAAAACAGCCCACCACAAGATGCTGCTGTCCCCACAGCTTTTCAGAGCAACAACTACGTGTGGAAAAATTTAACTCTGCTTATTTTGCAATAAGATGTGACTGAGGTTCGGGTCAGCTGCTTTGAGTGAGCTGTAGTGTTGTAGCTTGGGTGAACACAGGAGCAAAGTAGGCCAGCTAGTGTGAATCAGGCTGCAGGAAAACTTCCTGCTACAAGCAGAGCCAAGCTTTCTTGACTCCAACAAATGTTTCTGTTAGGACAAAAAAACATTGATTCCCATGGCATGTATACCCATCTTTCTGGTGGTGCATAAGTTTTCAGCATGGACACTATTACTATCTGTTCTTAAAAAAAAATAAAAAATAAAAAATAAGGAAAACCCTGAACAACCTCTCCTGCAAATCAGATAGACTACTAAGGGAAAACAAAATTCTCCTTTGCCAGTCATTCATCAAACATCATCTGTATAGGACTGGCATGAGCATGGCAGTGTCTGTGTACATCACTGAATACTGCTCCGCCAGGAGGCCTCAGCTCCCACTACTCAGTTGATTGATTATGCTTCACATTGGTGTGCCATGGGCAAAAATATAAAAAACATACTGGATAGAGGCATTAGTTTATGCTCTATGTAAGGAATTTATAAGAAATACAGTACACATATCCACATTTTACGTTACACTATTTCCATTTTATATACAGAAATGGAAATTGCATGCATTTAACCTTACCTTAAAACTATGATGAATATTAAATGACTGTACAACTATTTCAGATCAAAAGCAAAAATATCTCTACCAATTTAACAAAGCCATATTCATATTCTTTGGGTATCTTTTTATATCCTGTCATGCTCATACTTCCATCATGGTTTTAATCCAAATTTCATCCTGCTCTAGTAGCTATACTTACCTGGCATCTGATAGTAGTTTGACTACAATAAACTATTTCCAGCTTATTGTCATCTCTACAACACCACAAAACCAACCTCTTGCTCAATAATACTGTTTCATAACCATGTTTCTGTTTCATCTCTCCTACTCTTCTGCCTGCATGTGTTTACAGGGAATTGGTAGCTCTAGCCTGTCTCAGCTACACCTGAACCAGGTGCTAGAGGCATTAACAAGCCCCATGGTTCACACTGATACCCTTTAACAGGTGGGTTTCTCTCTCTTCAGATCCTTTGCCTGACAAAAATACTTGGTTTTTCTGTTCATAGCTTTCTGGTCCCTTTGGTTTAGAAAGTAACAATCTTCATAAGCTCTACACCATTTGGAGGTTTAGGGAAGGTTTTCATTCCCAAATTTCAATCAGATTCACTTACCTATGTTTCTGCAGTCATTCAGCCAAAAGTGTCTCATAAAAAGAAGCCATCAGACTGAAAATTCCTAGTGAGGACCTTATATAAGGTTGAGGTCAACACACAGCGGAAATTTGTCTCTCATTGCCCAATCAGATTTGTGTCAAAACCAAATAACGTTTTAGACCCAACTTTCTTTCCTTACGTAGAGTGAGGATAAGAGAAACAGAGGCACAGACACAGAGAAAATATGTTTGGATTTCCCAAAAAAAGGGGAAATGACTGCTAAATATATGACTAATTTTCCCCTTTTCTGACGAATGGTAGCTTGCATACACTCATGTCTTCACATGACTATTTCACACGCTACTTCAAGAAGAAAATTTTCATGGGTAACAAAAGGTGCACTGCAGCATAGTCAGCAGCTAAATAATTGCAATCTTCACATTTTGTGGTTTATCAAGCTCTTCATGGACAGCATAAGTCTTCTGTGATTTCCCAGATCGCTGGTGAATCACAAATGTGCTGATTCCCCTTTCCTCTGATAACACCCATTTTAGTGTGACAGCCTGCATTAAAGCTCTCTTGTAATGCAGTATAAAGAAGTAACAGCTAGAAGCAAATGATGGTTTCCAGGCTTATGAGGAGGAGTAAGAAAAGGATTATGAATTGTGGCAGTTTCAGCCTTTTAAAAGAGGGCAATCAAGTGAGGGACTGCAGTTCCCAGATAGACTACTATCCTCAGATACATCTAACAAGGACCAACACTTTTCAACAGCTTTCTTCAGAAGAGTTTCATCCTGGCTGTCTTTTTATCCAGAAAATATCTTGATCACATGCAGCAGTATGAATACCTCAAGTTTCAATTGTTTATCTGGAGGTACAAAAGTCTGGCTTAGAATAACTCAAGAGAAATGAAAGATAGAACAAGAATTTTATTTTTCCTTAGTAGATGTCTGCTGAGAAGGCCGCTTCATTTTGCGGTTAGCTATCACTGAGTATTTATAAACAGAAATGTGCAAGTCTAGCAGCTATATATATAGAGAGACTCTCTTAGGGAAGCTGGTGTCATTCTGTGGTTTCACTCTGCTGATGATTCATTTATACAGCTCAAGATGCTGGAGCTTAGCTGTGAAATTCCTAACTTGAAGACCAGACTATTCCCCATATGTCTCACTCGTTGCTCATCTCACTAGATAGATATTTCCCACACCAGGGCTACATGCAGTACCTTGCCACAGTTGGGTGGATTTTGCTGTCCTTGGACATGCCAATAAAATAATCAAAATATCAAGACATATCTAGTGTTCTGGAAGTTCCTTGCAACAGAGACTTTCAAAAGGCCTCCATAAGCAAGGTGTGTTTGCTCATTATCCCCAGTGAATGGAAGGGAAAATGGAAATTCAGACATCATGGAATGGGGATTACACCATTTCTACAAGGGGCAGTTTATGCACCAGCTTCCTATAGCAGCTCTCAGGTTTTGCTGTCTCTCCTGGAGGAACTTACCCTGTTATAGTGGCTCTGTGGCTGATAATGTTTGGCATCCAATAACTGCAATCCCTTGGACTTTGTTATTTATTCTTTATCCAGTTTGGCTGAGCAAACTTCATGCAATCAAAAACTGAAGAAAATTTCTCTGGTTCACAAAAGTATAAAGTGACAAGGCATTAAGAAATATTGAATGTTGAAAGCTGACTGGCAAGCAGATGCAAAGTAAACCACAACTGTTGAACCAACACATGTTCTTGGGCTTATTGATATGAGCAAACCTGGTTTTAATAATTTATAATACCCTTGTGCACTGTTCCAAGATGGGGTTTTGAAGAGTACAGAAAAGGAAAGGAAAGAAAAGGAACTCTAACTCTGAGAATCACCAAATAAGTGTGACAGAAAGAGAAAGACTAAACAGAGGGATTAGCACAATGTACAACAGACTCCAAGAATATGGGAATTTTCACGCTTAGCCAGAGGAATAAGTGCTGACATACCCCAGTTGTGTATGACTAAGTGGGAAAAACAGAAGGCAGTGTGCCAAGGGATCCACTTTGTCATGAGGGAGTGCTAGTCTGGCCAGAGCAGCCGTGGCTGGGTTAGATTGTCTCACCACTACAGGTTCCTGGGATTTCCAAAGACCCTTTCACTGCAATAGAAAGCAGGCAGACTTGAAAAATAATTATACTCTCAAGAGCTGGAAGGGTCAGGGAGGAGGAGACTCTCAGTGTAGAAATCAACAGGGTACAAGGGTCAAAGTAATGTCTAGAGGGGCCCAGAGTCTCCATGCACAGACACACAGCCATATACTGGTGAAATAAAGAAATTATTTCTGAAAAAGTGGGGTTTGCTGGATTTTATTTAAAGTAGAAAATCATCCCTGGCCACAGCCTACTTGATATATGATGCTATGTGGAAAAGTAGTGATGGAGTACTGTTACAAAGCTGAGGTTGTTGAAAGCAGTAAAGTGATATTGCTCTCCCTATAAACTGAACCAAAGTGGATTCTAAACTACTAAATAGTGACAGTTTAGACATCAAGACATCCTAGTGCATATCTCAAATGACAGTAAAAGTAAAAAAATCTCTTACTGCTCTTCCTTCTCTTGTGGATAAAATGGTACATTTTGATCAGGGATAGGGTTAGGGTTAGGGATCAGAGTAAGAGAGCCTAGGGCTCCAGGGACACCGGGGATGGAAAAAGCATGCCAAGCAGACCATAGTAGGGCCCCAACATTGCTGCCCCTATATCTTTGTAATCTGGGCCATCCACAGAACCATTCAGTTTTGAAATAAACCTCTAAGATTATCAAGACCAACCATTAACACAGCGCCACCATGTTCATCACTAAACCACATCCCCAAGTGCCATATCCACACACCTTTTAAACACTTCCAGGGATGGTGATTTCACCACTTCCTTGGGAAGCATATTCCAAATCCTGCCCATCCTTTCAGTGAAGAATTTTTTCCTGATATCTAATCTAAACCTTCCCTGCTACAACTTGAGGTGGTTTCCTCTCGTGCTGTCACTTGTTACCTGGGAAAAGAGACCAACCCCCAACTTGCTACAAACACGCTGAGGTTCCTGCTTCTTTCCCAAGCTACCAGCCATCCCCCCTACTCAGGAGCAAGCCTACAGCACACAGCACTCACCATGCCTTAGTGCAGGGCTCCAGGCAAGGCTGCAGCATTCACACGGTCACTTGCCAAGTCAGGGCTGGGAGGTAGGGCTGGCTGGGACCCAGCAATGCCAAGGAGAACAGCAAGCAGACATTTCCCACCACTTTGGCATCTTCTCAGACCATAGGCAGTGAGTCAGTAGGGGCACTAGGGACATGCTAGGAAAAAATCAAACCTAAGGCTGCTGACTAGCTTTTTCTTTTCCACCAGTTCCAAAATCATAGTGTTTGCTTGCAATCATGATCAGTCTTTTTAATATGTGAAAAAACATAAAGTGCTCTCTGGTCTTTCATGTGAGAAGTGTTGAGGGATTTAAAAACACAGCAGTCATTACAAAAATCCCACAGTAACAGCAGACAGAAGAGGAACTATGTCCAGTTGAGGACCATGAAATCATATAGAGTTACATGAGCGAAAACAACAGGGACAAAAGAAAATTTCTAAACCAGTTACAGTGCTTGGCTTAAGTAGCCAACCTAGTAAACAGGGATTTCAGAGGCAAAGAGAAAAACAGATGACAAAGATTTTTGTTCATAATTGCCTTTTTTTTGGCTGAACTTAAATTTAGTGTGTAAAAAGTAACTTCATAGCTACAAAACAGTTACAAACGTATGGTCGGTGATAAAGGAAAAATTGAGCTGGTACAGATCATACATTATTGTAGGTGTACTGGGAGGATAATGTTAAACATTACTTCTTTATTACATGTTCCTGAATCAAGTATTTGTCTCACCAAGAAGATGAAGTCATTTATGTAATGCAGGCAGTAAATCTTTCATTTGTCTTAGATTTATTGTCCTTCTGACACGCAAATATATTTCACATACTTGTTTTAAGAAGTCCTATGAAATAAATGTAGCAGATACAATTACCCAAGGTATTTGTTCTCTATTCCACTACATAAATGTGTAATTCATTGGAGGGGGCTGGGGTGGGAGACAACACATGAAAGTTCATATGGTATAGAAACAGAGACTGCAATGAAGTTGCAGTCATACTTGGCATTCTCTCTTTGTGCTTGTCCTGTGTGTAGTGTCACAATGACCAGCAATTCTGACTGGCATCAAGAGTTGCTTCAGAAAAAATTGAGCAAGACTTGCTCTGGATCTGTGATATAACGGAAGAGTGGGTATAGCAATAGAGTGAATAGCAATGAATGAATATAGCAATGAATGAATAGCAAATAATTAGATGCAAAATATACTAAATGAAGAGGCAGGGGAAGAACCAGTGTATTTGACAGCAGGAATCAGGAGAAATCCGATCAGTTCAGAAGAAATAGAACCAATCCAAACAACACCATTGTTCTAAAAAAGAAATACAGAAGCAACCAAGTGATGCTGCAAGACCATACTTGCTTGCAATAAAGAGCAGGGAGGCACAGTCTATCCTTTTATCTTTTATCTGTTCAGTTGGTAGACACACACCATGAAACACTGAAGAAAGTCAGATTTTGTATCATTATCCAGGTTAATGAACACATTTGTTTTAATAAAAACAGTTTCCACCAGCCAAGCTTAGAGTGTTCTGTTATAACAGCTGACCACGTAACAAGAGTACAAATACACATGGGGTAGCAAAACTGATCTCAGAGGGGTTTCAGACATCAAATGTCCTTACTTATGCCCTTCTCCAGCAGATAATGTTCTGTACCAGGCTGAAAGGGAACTCATTATTTCAGCAACTGTTTTTAAAGACTCTGGGAGGATTTTACACAAAACAATATTGGAAGTTATTTGTTTAAAACATTGCTATCGATCATATTTTGAAAAGAAAAAGAAGAAATTTTAACAATGGTATTGCTTTGTTATGCAAATTTTCTTTAATTACAAGCTGGAAGAGTTTTCATTCAGACTTAGTTGATCGGAAGACTTCACCATTTGCAGGAAAATTTGGGTAACTTTTATTAATGTTTGCAAGAAACTGATAGGTCAATTTTCTTTCAAAATATTCCTGGATTGAAATCTTCCTTCTGAATAAAACTCAGACCCCTGCTGGTCCTTCTGGCTGTAGCTTCTAAGACTGGT